TCTTATCACAGTTGTGGTCTATTTCATCAAAGGCCTTACTGAAATATAAGTAAATTACAGTAGAATTTTGCTGGTACATTACTTTAGTCACTTTGTCAAAGAAGGCATAAAGTTTGTCTGGCATGATCTGGCATGGGATTTGACAAACACATATTGACTTTTGGTTATAACTTTGCTTGCCTCTTGGTGTTTGCAGATGCTTGATTATCTTTTCTAGGATCTTCCCAAGTATTGATGTCAGGCTGATGAGTCTGTGGTTTCCTGAATCAATGTTTCCCCTTTTTTGAAGATGGGAATAACATCAGCTCTTTTCCAATCCTCTCATAGTTCCCCAGTATTCCAGTATCTTTGAAACATATAGTTCAATTATTCCAAGATTATGTCTACCAGCTCCTTCAGAACCCTGGATATAATCCATCTGATCCTGATGATTTAAATTTATCTATGCTGGACAGGTGTTCTCTTACTATTTTCTTGCCTATTTTAATATGTATTCCGAGTCTGTCTGTTACTGTTCTGTTTTTGGTAGGTTCTGTTGGGTTTTTTTTTTTTTGCATGTAGACAGATGCAAAGAATGAATTAAGCAGCTCTGCTTTTTCCTTGCTGCCCATCACTTTCTTGCCATCTTCTCTAATTGGTCGATCAATTGTTTCCTTGTCTTTTTTTGTTTTACATGTTGAAAAAAAGTTTTTATTTTTTATTTTTTTACAATTGTGGCAAGTCTTGGTTCATTCTGAGCCCTAGCTTTTCTGAATTCATCTTTGTAGAGTGAGTGTCCCACTCATTCACACATACCACAAGTGTTAGGAGTCTTTATTAAGGATTCCAAGCCTGAATTAATATTCCCCAGCAATTCCCTGTACCAGCACCAGCTCACTATCAATGAGACTATTCAAAAGAAGCCAGCACTAATCCACAAGGCAAAAGCAAGTCCAGTCCACTAGGCAAATTGTCTCAAAGCAAAGGCAAGTCTCCAAGGCAAAGGTTGACAGTTGACGTAGCATTATCCAAAGCTTTTTGTCTTTCAGTTTATCAGAGTTTTTTTTATTCAACTATGCTGGTTTCTTCTTGGATCTCTTATTTTTCTTTTTCATTTGATTGTGGTGGACTGGGCTTCTTAATCTCATTTTTCAGAATTTTCCAAGCTTTAGTTTTTTTAAAAAAAGATGTTTATCCATGGAATCCTTCCCAAGCTTTCTCTAAGTTTGTTGGAAACAGCTATCTTGATGTATAAGGCACTATTTTAATTTTGTTCTATTGCTTGTGTCTGCATTATATTGAATTCCAATATGTCATGGTCACTCTCCCCCAACTTCACAACTTCACAACTTCAACACCCTCTATCCCTTCATCTCTGTTATTAAGAGTCAAATCCGCTATAGCTGATCCTCTAGCTTTCTCATCTATTTTTAGATGACAAAGTTGTTAGCTAGGCTAATCAGGAACCTATTTGATCTCCCACTTGATGCAGTTTGTCTCCCAGTTGATGTCAAGTAGTTAAAGTCTCCCATTACTACTGTGGTGTGTTTGGTATGGATATATTAACTATTAGCAAAAAGTTCATCTATTTCTGCTTGTTGGGCAGCTGTACTATGCACCTCTGGCAATATCATTCTTTTTTTCTTTTATATTAACCAATATACACTTTAAGGGGGCTTTCATCCTAGGTTTTATGTATTTCTGTAGAGGTGTAGTGATTTCTTACATATAATGCAATTCCACCCCCTCTTTTGTTAGATCTGTTTCTTTTGAACAGTTTATATCTTTGTAGCAGTACATTCCAATTATGAGTTTCACCCCATCAAGTTTCAATAAAAACAATTATAACACATATGCCCTCATATATTAGTACTTCAAGTTCACCCTATTTGTTCCTCATACTTTGAACATTGGTATATAAACATCTGATCCTGGGTTTTCTTCCTCCTCCTGTTTTATATCTGAGTTTTCCTTCTTTCCCACCACTCTCTATCTCCTTGTTTGATTGGTTGTCCTAGGGTTTATGCTTAGGATTAGGCCCTAAAGATCCTAAAAATTGATCACCCTCACCCCTTAGTTTTAGTTCAAAGCTCTTTGGATAAGCTGAGCCAGTCATTTTCCAAATACAATTTCATGGCTATTGTGAATTGTAGCCATCTCCTGTCAGAACCTGTTCACGTAGGCCAGGGGTCCCCAAACCTGGCAACTTTTAAGACTTGTGGACTTCAATTCCCAGAGTTGAAGTCCACAAGTCTTAAAGTTGCCAAGTTTGGGGACCTCTGATGTAGGCAATATATAGACTATGGTTTAGGAATCCAAATTTCTCTTGATGGCCTCAACCCTTAAACTGATGGTTTATTTCTATAATAAATTATTTCCAAAATTTCTAAAATCCTCTGTTTCCTCATTGGATGTTGACCTTCCATTGGAAATACAAATGAAAAGATGACTTGTGCTCCTGTTTGGTTTTTACACTAAGCTGTTCATAGTTTTTTGATATTGTTTTCAGATTCATTGTTGTATCCTTTGTCTCCACATAGAAGAGAAGAAAGGGATAGTAATTTGCATGCTTGATTATTTTAGTAAGGCTTTCAATCACATGTTTGATTTTTGGTCCTGGGAGACAAGATACAGCCCTAAATTGATTGATTGACTTACAAATGCTGATTCTGTTCCTCCAAGAAGTGAATCTTCTAACACATGCCTCTTTTGCTCTTGGGAATGTCTGGACTAGGTTTCCTGCAGACATGGGAATGCTTAATGATGTTTCTTCTCCAAGTGTCTGCATACTTTCTTCCAGGAGGGAAGATATGAAATCAATTGCTCAGCTGCAGCAGGATTGTATTGTACTGAGCTGCACTAGGCAGCAGGAACATTTGTTCTTGGTTGTCATTTTCTTCTGTGAGTGAGGTGTTGTCATTGGTCTACCTCTAAAGGTTCATGTAGTAGGTTAATTTCTTCTAGTAGTTGTTTGTTCCTTACTATGTTCAGATAAGATCTTTTTTTGGTTGGAGTTTCCCATTTTGTATACCGAGTCTCAGAGTGGCTAGAATTGCCTCTAGACCAGACTCTTAATTTTTCTTCAAGTATTTCATTTCATTTACATTTGGTACAAGTGTAATTTGGGTATTCTATGGGCATGAATACTACATGGAACATATTTTGCAAATCTCAACAGCATCACTCTCTTTTTCCATGATTACTTCTCCATGACTAGTTGTAAAAATTAAACATTTCAAACATTTTCAGCTTCCAAAAATTAAAAAAAAATCATTTTTTTTAAATAATTTCAAAAATTACAATTCTTAAATGTTAGTCTTTTGATTCCTTTTGTGGCTAACTTCAAATGCAAATGAGATTGTCCTCCAGATATAGTTTGTAATCCACAGATGTATTAAAGAATAAGAGTTGAATAAAAGATTGAAAGAAAAAAATAAAATCTCAGGTGAAAAGAAAAAAATCAAATATGAGCTGGTAATTAGTGCTAAAGTTTGTTTTAAAAATAAGTAGTTTGTAATAATACAGAAGAGATTCTTTCTTTTAAAAATTTTGTAATCTTTATGGTTTGCATTTCAAAAGGAAATAGAACAGGACAGGACAGAATAGAATAGTAATGATAGCAGAGAAATAGAAACTGAATGTCTTACTGCCAGTTAAGTTTTATTAAGCATTTGTTCTTATTGCTTGAACTTGTAGTATTATTGCTCTTCAGTAATCTTCATGGATCATTCAGGAAAGAATTATTAAAAACAAAGCAAGTCTTTTGAATGCTGAGCTATGGTAAAGAAAATCTGGATATGTATATGTTTTTTATATTTTTTCATATAT